GTTCCACTATGATCTACCATATAGGCATACGAATTCTTAATAAATTTGAAAAAGAAAAAAAAACGAAATTAATTGGTATTACAAAATTATCTATGTCAATGCAGTCAGTCAATTTTTCTTATTTTATCAAATACAAAAAAAGTTACAAAATAATTATAGCTAATGTAATAAAGTATAAAATTACAAATAATAAATGTCAAAACTTAACCTAAAGATTCATCTGTCCACTAACTTTACTCTAACATCCGTAATTCACAAATATTCTATGAGGTCCACAGTCCGCGTGGACGCACAGACCCTGGGTCCCAAAAACCTATTCATAGACGATACTTTAGTGGCGGACTGACACACACGAACCAATCACAGAGCTCTACTCAACGCTGTGCGATCGACTTCGCATAGCGTTGCTGCTTCATCGTTTGTGAATACGGGTGTAATATTTTTGAATATGAAAAAAATAAGTACTTACTTTGTATTGTAAGTATGTGTAATATCGATTTTGGTTTCAGTAAATTATTTAAAATAGCAAAAATAATTTTAAAAACCTTAAAAAAATTATGTTTTATTTTTTATCGGTAAATGAAATAAAAGCAAATCAAAATTTTATTTGCTAATTTCAGGTACATAAGTGATAATAGATTTTTGAGTCGATCGGTCGAGTTATTGTGAAGAGGTTAAAAAAAAAGCTTTTTGAAACTTGTATTCTCATGAATAATAAATATCCTTCACCTTTTGTTAGCCTTTGTCAATATAAATTCAGTTTTTGCGAGGGTCTGCATCTTGTCCTGACAAGTCATTAGGTGTCAGATAAATATTCTGTGACCTCATCTTGCACATTAGGTAGTTAAATTCTCTTAGCAATAATTTGGATGATTCATGTGAACATGTTTCTGAAAGTCCAAAGATCGTTCAACTTACTAATATCATACTGTGTTATGTGCTTACTTGTAATAACAATTAAAAATTTTAGATGGAGTACTTTTTATTGTAATTTTACACGTAAAAAAATGCGATTTTAATACAATTAAACATGCTAAACGGAATCCTTATAAAACGAATAGTTTCAAAGGAAACTGAGCGAGAGAATAAGGTTTTTGTGACATTTCTTTTATCTATATTTCTATAAGTTATAGAAACTCCAAAAGGGAGCAGAAATGGACTGAACTTTTCCAATTTTACGGATTACTAGTTCCCGCCCTCGGACGTTCATACAAATACTTCAAGTGCATGAAGTTATACAACTTTGTTGCGAAATCGCCTTTATCACAACTACATAAGGTCCCTCAGTGTTAAGCTTGATGAGCTTTCTTCTGTGCTTTATTTCCACTTCTTTATTACGATCGAGATCTCAAGAGTATAACGCAAGAAAAATATAGGCTTTACTTGAACGAATTGCTGAAACCATGAACCTTAATCAAATATAAGTGATTTATTCTTAAAAGCTTTTTCAGATGTGCAGATTCAATTCGTAAGTAAGACACACGTAGTGCAAAATTACCTTAAATGGTACGTTTTAATTTCTGAGCCATGTCAGATGACCATGTTGGCACATTAACTTTGACACTGTTTTTTTCCTAATAATATGACAAAAAAGCTTTCTCGAGAATATACCTTAAATAACTATACTTTCCTGAAAACTGCATAAAAATCACGAGAAAGCTCTAACAAACATACATATCTCTTTTTTGAAGTCGGTTAAAAAGAGAAACTTCTTTATCTTTCTTACTATTTGCTATTACTCGTATTACTTACTGATGTTATTTGACAACAGATGAAAAAATGAAAATTATTGTATAAAATATAAAAGTTTTTTTAACCACCACAAGTGAATTTTCTCGCGTTCGTATCCCCGAGGACTAAATTATTCCGCTTACCGAGCAATGAGCTCACCGAGCTTCAGTTTGATGTTGAGATTAATTCAATTCTAGTGCTTTAAATCAGTGTACTTATAGTCTAAGAGCTAGTGAACGCCAGACCTACGCTATTTTATAAAGGCTGAAAGTTTGTCAGCGCATGCTCCCAACATAGCTAAGAACCATGGCCAAACATGAAGTTTGGGTCATGGTGGCTTTGGCAGACAGACGGTACTAAAGGTGTGTAAAATACCAACTTAATTACAAAGTTGAGGAGTTGTACTTACCTTCCATCATCAACTCATAAACATTCACAACAGACAGACGGTCTGCCAAAGCCACCATGACCCAAACTTCATGTTTGGCCATGGTTCTTAGCTATGTTGGGAGCATTCGCTGACAAACTTTCAGCCTTTATAAAATAACGTAGGTCTGGCGTTCACTAGCTCTTAGTCTATTATACTTATCTATGTATAATCAGTATGTTAGTACTAACTATATTGCGCTACATTTTCTGCGTGGCTGTTGTAGAGTAAACAAATTATAAATAATACGTTTTTTTTTCTCAAATTACAACAATTACACTAAACAGAGCTTTGGACGAAATTACATTATATGGAAATACATATAGCGCCAACTCACATAGATACGCATATAAATATTCGTGTCCATCTCGTTTTATTTAGCCGTAGCGGATTCGAATCTAAGACCTCGTTGGCGCTATAGTCCGGAAGCCAAACCATTAGGCCATGCGGCTGTAGTGTTTGTAATTTTGTGCTCAACAACTTTGAAAAGCCTATTCACCCGCCAAATGGTAAAAGAACCAACCATTATAGTTCTATCTTGTAGTTACTCCGTTCAGACAGTGTATAAGGGATCCTGTATAATACTATCTGAAAGATAAAATGAACAGAATATTACATTTCTTCAGGTGTAATAACTAATATATGTCTCTCAAAGAACTCTACATGCTCTTTGCACTTTTCAAATATTCACTTCAATATTACATTTCTTTTATGTGAGGGTATGAGGAGTTTTGTATTTCATAAGCAGCATCTTTAGAGTGCTTCTTTATTAATGTCTTAGTATATAATATGCTTCCATTTAGCTTGTAGTTCCCTGAAAAAAGGTAGATTTTAGTCCATAAGGTTAACGAGTGTTAACGCTAACCAATACTGCAAAGTTACATAAATTATTTTGAAAATCTTTTCGCTGTAAAAGTAATCATATATTTTATTGTTCATTCCGTTCAGGAAGGCTTTGATTAGGCTATGTACCATTACCCTACTGCCAATATGGGCGGAGCAGTAAAGCAAAATTTTGCAAAAACGGGAAATATTATGCAAACTATTTACTCTCTACCCCTAGGCTTCGGCTTAACACTATTTTTGGGGCACCCTGTATATTGGTTTTATGATGATGATTTATGAAGTCAGCATTATTTGCAGTATGCGTATTTTTCTCTCACGGTATATTTTGGTTTCTTAACGGGAAAGATTGGACGTGGTCAAGCTCAATTTATGCCACGAAAGGTAGTGCCAAGTGGCATCTTAATTGGCTGTAATAGGGGCTATTTTGTAACAAAAATGTGTAGCTTGATGTGCTGTCTGTACTACGTTATGTAAGAACGGTCTCACTGCAATATCGACTCGTTACGGGCGACTAGCCGAAGCAACTTAGAGCAAATTAACAGAGCTGGCTTGGACCCGTGGTTATTTTACCCTATTTGTGGGGAAATTTCCAAATAGCGGAAAAGGTTTCCCTCATTTCCCTCATTAAAAGGCACAATGAAGATCGATTACTGTTCTTATTGTTCTGTTAACAATGAAGTGGTAATGAATGCTATTTCAGAAAGCTTTGCATATTAGTATTCGTGTATTTTGAGATAGGAGGAAACCATGAACATTATGATTCTAATTTCGGGTCATAAATTTTAATTATTTCACATAATTACCTACTACGAGTATTTGGCTGTCGAGGGCATAGAGCATTTTATCATTTTTTATCTGGGTTTTACAATCTGTGTGTACCTAATTATTAATATTAATGTATTTCATTTCTAAACAAAATTATTGGGCAATTAAAGAAAATTATTACCTTTAGGTAAATATAATTACAAGTTTAGCAAGAAATAAGTAGTTACGATTATCAACAAAACATAATACATCCAACAAACCCAAAATTTAAATGCTAATAAATATTGAAACCTTAAAGTTAGGCACCAAACTAGTACAACACTCACATTGATCATGTATTCTAAGTCCTACGTAACAAATTGCATTACTAAAACAGAGCTGCGTGATAGAGTAATTAACCAAACCCATTTCATAGTTACGTCTGGGCAAGACATGTTGGTCTGAAGTAGATCGTAAGTTTACCTACGCGGGTACATGTCTGCCATACGTAATCCTGGCTAGTCTGCCTTAGATGAATCTGTGTGTGTGAGCAAGTCGCTTATTTTTAGCGCGGCTGAGTCACGTCGTAGGGTTACCATTTTTTTGTATTAAAATTAAAAGCCTATAAGTATTGGTTTTATATTTTATCTAAGAAAAAAAAAGCAATAGTATCAAAAATAAAGTAACAGTAAATTTTATCGCTGGCAAGTGGCGACATCGATTCAGCACCGATCGAAAAAAATGTTTAAACGAAAAAATACTTACGACTAAACTTTTCAAAATCCTAAAGAAAAAAAGTATGCGAAATAAATTATTTTCATTGTACCTACTTTATCGTTCTCATAGAGTATAATTACCTGAAATAACGTTACAATACTGTATTATAAAGTACGGGTGGCAGCCCTAGTCACGTCACAACAGGCCACCGGGCATACGGGATCACTAGAATAGTGCAAAAGTGCAAAAAATCGTTGAGGATATCATGTCAATTGAAGAATATGTTTTAAGATCACAGGTAGATATCAATATAGCCCGCAGAATTGCTAAAATAAAGTGGCAGTGGGTGGGGCACATAGCTGGTAGAGCTGCTGGCCGCTGGGCCAGAAAAATGCTCGAGTGGTGACCACGGNTCGCGGAGCTTTTTGCTCGTTACGCGCAGCGCTTGGAGTTTCGAGTCTGTTGTCCAAAGAGCTGTTGTCGGTAGTCTGTGCCGCGGGGCGAGGCGGGGGCGGGGTCGGCGCGGCGCGGTAGTTCGCGCGCAGCGGCCGGCGCACTCGCACGCTCCGTGCGCCCGCGCGCGCCATGGTGTATCCCGAGCCGTCCCGCTGGGGCGCGCCCGACGCCGCGCTAGCTCCTCTCTACGACGACGTTTACCGAGGTCAGCTGACATTTGCAACCGCGATGCATTGCCCTTTGTCTCTGCCGCTTCCGATGGAAACTCGGGTCTCTGTCTGCATGTAATTGCACATTATTAAAACGAGCTTCCATATCCATTCCCAGACATAAACACNTTAAACAGAGTTCTGCCTTTGTCGATAAGTTCGTTGCATCGTTCAACTCCTACTCAAATATTTGTGATTTAAATTGAAACAATGGAACAGTTTCTGCTTTGTCCGCGGAGAGTCCGCTCAAAATGATCTTTATGTGAAAAGTTGTTAGGAAAGTTAGGTAGTTTTAATTAAACTTTTATGGCGATAAACCGCTTAATGGCAGGCAAATTGGTTGGAGTATCTCGCAAAAACATTTTGGAGTTAGAGATCGTGCAATTAAAGATTTGGAAGTATCGATGGTTGGGTAGAGTGTACCGAATCGATGTTTATGCGAATTTGGATTGAAACGTTGGCGACTTTGTGGCAGTGCCGGTTAGTTGAGTCATCGGGATGATTGATCGCCGGCCTGTAGTGAAATTGGGATCAAAGCGCTGACACATGTTAGACGCTGCCATTAGCGGATCAGCTGATTCTTCTCGCTCTTTTTTAGGCTGTGATTACGTTTGGCTTGTTGATATTTGATTTTTACTTTATTGTATGTTGTAAAAGTGCGTTTGGGACATTAAAATAGAATAAATATACGTAGAAACAAAATTACATAGCGTTTTGTTAAATCTAGGTAACACATTTTTATTCCAAAAGCTTTACATACTGTAAAAGCTTACTAAATTCTCTTTTATTTATTAACGCATTAACTTTAAATGTAGACGTTGAAATAAAGCTAAACTGAATACAGAGCAGTGCAGTTTTTCCAAAGTTTATATTGCCTCTAAATTGAGAAAGACAAGTAAACGGTGCCTTCAAATAAAACAACAAACGAGCCGAAAGGTCTGCTCTCTGGTTCCGAATCGTTCCCATAGTAAATTCGCAGAGAGAGCCTTAATGAGTACTGTTATATCCCATACGAATAGGGTTGCCACTTTTATAAATATCTGAAATACCGCCATGAAAAGTTTCTTATTAATAATCGAAAGCTCTACACTGTGGAGTCTACAGTATTTCAACCATTTTATTTATTGGTTGGAAAGTATTTTTAGGAAGTGTGCAACGTATAATTTCAACACATTTAAAGAAAAGATAAAATTGAGTCATTTTGCAATTACACGTGTTTTTATTAAAACTTTTAAGGCTGAGTTGCACCACCCAAATTTGACCGTAACTATGACGATAACCGGTGTTTTTTGTATGGAGTTTGACGGATATTTGACGTTTGTCTCAGTAAAAGAAAGATGGTGCAACCCAGCCTTAGTGTAGCGTAGTAGAGTCATTCTAAAATTTATTATAATAATGCACTAAACCTAATTTGGTTTCTAGTACCTAAGGAAACAATTTATTGTGTTACGTACGAATATTTTTTTTTTTCTAGTAACAGATAAAAATGTAAAAATATTATTAACAGCAACCTAGAAGAAGATAAGATTCCGTAGCCCTACCCACGATTGTGTTCAGTATTGTCTACGTGAAGTTTTGATCGCGCAACGGTTGTTTTATAGATAATTGAGCTGTACGACTCATGGCGGCCATAAAACTCAATTAAATGTTCAAAATTGAACTGTCTTTAGGAAATTCAAATTGTGATTTTATGACGTTCCGTTTACGACCGCTATAAAGTGACTGCAAAGAGTTCGCTCGAGCTGCGCGTGAGACTCGATGCAAATCTATTAGCATTTGTAGTTTCGTTCGGAAAATAGGTGTGTAGTCACACGCTTCTTATTTTAAATTAGCTGACCCGGCGAACTCTGTTCCGCCTTAAAGGCAATAAATAAGCAAATCTTTCCTTATTTGCTCACCGTTTAGACCTACCCTGGACTACGACAAACATTTTAACACCAAAATCAACTCAATCGGCCCAGCCGTTCTCGAGTTTTAATCAGACTAACGAACATCAATTCATTTTTATTTATATAGATTTTTATTCATAAACAAGACCTTTTTTCTTTTGCATGCAAACGAATAAAAAGTTAACCTCACAAAACGGGATTTTACAGTCGTCATGAGGGAGTTGAACGATGATTCATAAACGAGTGTGCATTTGGTATAAATGAACACGCAGAGACTAAGTGGTAATGTTTTTATTTTACCTTAATAATATAGTTGTAAGTTTTCATAAGCTAACATTTCAGCTTGAATTCTATTAATGAGGTGTATTTAGATTTCTTAAGGGTGAATGGAAGAACGGTTTTTGTAAAATGCTGCATTTCTCTGAGCTTGACTCTACCTTAGTCGTTGCAAGCAACTGACATAATATTGTGAAATCTTCATTGCTGAAAGTTTGATATTTAAATATTTTATTTCTGGTTGATTTATGCCCGTTTTCATCATCAATCCCTAATTTTTAAGTGACCGGTAACATTTAACAGGAATTTTGTTTTCAAAAGGTTCTCTGAAAAATTAGGGATTGATGGTGAAAACGGGCATTATACTTCGAAAACCGATCTTACATAGGAATAATAGCCTTTTTAGAGTGCCATAAAGATGTTATGATCTTAAACGAGACCACCAATATACAAGTAAATAGAGTCTTAAATTGTTCTTTGTTGAAATAAAAATTTAGTGAAAATTAATCTAAAACAAAAAATGGCATTAATTTTACACTTTATCCCCATAAATAAAAGTTACAACCTAATTGAATACTGTTTTAAAGTGACATTTCCAAACTAAACGTCACTTTCAAACAGTTTTCAACAATGTTGTAACTTTTTATTAATAAGGGGGTATATGTTTTACCTAAATGCCTAGTTAAACCCTACAAAATATAGGATGTTACAAGTACCTGATACCAAGTCTAGCTAATCCAGTAGCGAGTAGGTATTAGGTAACCGCACACTTTCTCGGCACTATTTTCACTAGACCCGCAGGAATGTGCGTAGGCGCGCACCGTTAGCGGCGGGCGCAAGCAGGAGCAATTAAAAGCGAATTGCAAACCTAAGCTTTAGTGTCGCATTGTCGATGGTGTCCAGCCCAGCTGTAGGGTGACTGTGATATCTGTCCACTAACTTTCCTCTAATATTCTGGTAAATAAAAATACAGTAACTAAGTGTACTCGTATTGTATTTTATTACACATCGATTTTCAAAACCCTTACTAATAAAAATGTATTGTCAGTCGTTAAATGAAATAAATCAAATCAATTTTTTATTTGCATGCTTTTTGAAACTTATATTCTTATGAATAATAAATATCCTTCACCTTTTGTTAGCATTTGTCAATATAATTTCAGTTTTTGCGAGGGTCTGCATCTTGCCCTGACAAGTGATTAGGTGTCAGATTATTAGAATATTCTGTGACCTTATCTTGCATATTATACGAGTATTAGGCAGTTATATTCTCTCAGCACTAAATTGGATGATTCATGTGACCACGCGTATCTGAAAGTCCAAATAACGTTCATCTTACTAATGTCTTACTATAATGCATTACCTACTGCTTACTTGTAAGTTTAACATTTAACATTTTACATGGAGTATTATGATTCCTCACGTAAAAATGCGATTTTAATACAATTAAACATGCTAAACGGAATCCTTATAAAACGTATAGTTTCAAAGGAAACTAAGCGAACAGAATATAGTTTCTATTACATTTCTTTTATCTATATTTCTATAAGTTATAGAAACTCCAAAAGGGAGCAGAAATGGATTGAACTTTTCCAATTTTACGGATTACTAGTTCCCGCCCTCGGACGTTCATACAAACACTTCAAGCACATGAAGTTGTACAACTTTGTTGCGAAATCGCCTTTATCACAACTACGTAAGGTCCCTCAGTGTCAAGCTTGATGAGCTTTCTTCTGTGCTTTATTTCCACTTCTTTATTACGATCGAGATCTCAAGAGTATAACGCAAGGAAAATATAGGCTTTACTTGAATGAATTGCTGATAACCATGACCTTAATCAAATAGAAGTGATTTATTCTTAAAAGCTTTTTCAGATGTGCAGATTCAATTCGTAAGTAAGACACACGTAGTGCAAAATTACCTTAAATGGTACGTTTTAATTTCTGAGCCATGTCAGATGACCATGTTGGCACATTAACTTTGACACTGTTTTTTTCCTAATAATATGACAAAAAAGCTTTCTCGAGAATATACCTTAAATAACTATACTTTCCTGAAAACTGCATAAAAATCACGAGAAAGCTCTAACAAACATACATACCTCTTTTTTGAAGTCGGTTAAAAAGAGAAACTTCTTTATCTTTCTTACTACTATTATTACTTACTGATGTTATTTGACAACAGATCAAAAAATGAAAATTATTGTATAAAATATAAAAGTTTTTTTATTCTGTCGCGTTCGTATCCCCGAGGACTAAATTATTCCGCTTACCGAGCAATGAGCTCACCGAGCTTCAGTTTGATGTTGAGATTAATTCAATTCTATTGCTTTAAATCAGTGTACTTATCTATGTATAATCAGTATCTTTTAGTAGGTACTAACTATATTGCGCTACATTTTCTACGTGGCATTGTAGAGTAAACAAATATAAATAAGTAAGTTTTTTTCTCAAATTACAACAATTACACTGAGCTTTGGACGAAATTACATTATATGGAAATACATATAGCGCCAACTCACATAGATACGCATATAAATATTCGTGTCGTAGCGGATTCGAATCTAAAACCTCGTTGGCGCTGTAGTTCGGAAGCCAAACCACTAGGCCATGCGGCTGTAGTGTTTGTAATTTTGTGCTCAACAACTTTGAAAAGCCTATTCACCCGCCAAATGGTAAAAGAACCAACCATTATAGTTCTATCTTGTAGTTACTCCGTTCAGACAGTGTATAAGGGATCCTGTATACTATCTGAAAGATAAAATGGAGAGAATATTACATTTCCTCAGGTGTAATAATATGTCTCTCAAAGAACTCTACATGCTCTTTGCA